CCATCCAATAAAATTGATACGTTATAACAGGAACAGAATGATATGTAATATTTACGAAGTACGTATATTAATATGGTTATTATGGCATTTTTAATGTGTACGTTCGCAAAATCATATAACTATGCATTAGGCGCAGTAAAAATGTGAATTTCTGTACTTAAACATCACGATATGCGTCACATAGCATATAGCGATAACAGGTTTTGTCTCTGATTAAAGCGCATGACAATCATTTATAAAGGACATTGCTTTTACGGAATTGCACTAACCGAATATGGATTTTGTCATATTAATATGTTGTAAATCTTGAATCTGCCTAAAACCAGTCCACATGACTTTCACTAATGTCAAATTTGTATAGCGATAATTTTTAGAGATTCTCTGAATATGTCAAACATTAAAATTTAATATATTAATTTAGCTATTGAGTATAGCACAGTAATGGCCATCCAGTAAACAAATTATTTAAGGTATTCAACCAATTCAAATTGGTTTGCATTAATTCAGTGAGTATAACGACAAAGTGACAAAGTCGTAGCATTCTACCATTTTGCTTGTTTAATTTCATTGATTTGTGAATATAGTATTAATTAATTTATCCAAGTTTTCAATCGTGCATTTACTGTATTTCATAGTTAAATTAGTGATATAATGACAGATAAGTTATTCAAACTTATATCATTCACCACAACTTATTATATTCGTACTAATTCAGTTAGTGAGAGCAATGATTATCTTAATCGAATTAATTAAAATGGGTAAGATTATACCATTTTTTATACAGTAAATATTACAAGTTTCGCGCTGTTTTGAGAGTTATATTAAGATCAAACATATAATACTTTCAATAATACTTCATATGTTACTATACATTTCTTATAATTTATATTTATGTCGATTTTCAAAATCTCGTTCAATAGATCAGAAGCACGACCTTTTTCATAAGGTAATCCTGATCGATTAACACCTTAAAATTCACTTGAATTTTTATAAAGAGCAACAACGATTGAGCAGCATCCCAATTAATGGCAAGCCCTATTATCCGGCATCACATGGGTTAGGGTTAATTGCAAATACGTATATATTTTAGCAAATGGTCACTCTATATGTGTCGAGTAGAGAAATAACTTTGGAAAATGAGACTGTGTGAGGTCTCTTGTTTAGATCAATTTGATTGATATTTTTAATCAAAGCTTTTATTAATTTTTCAGTTAATTTAATTTGTATGTGTAATAATCATTCATCAATTAAAATATTTGAAATAATCTATAACTCTTATTGATGTTTTAATTATCGATGGGGATCAGTCTGTCAATTACTGAATTATAAACTACGTAAATAAGCACTAAATTAGATAGGCAGTGAGAAGCACTACTCATATATTAGTATTGGCTTATATGAGTTATAGTATTTCCGCTTTATATGCCACCCATTAGGTAATTTATCAATATAGCCGCCAATTACAAAAAAAAAAAATTTTACAAAAAAAAATTTGAGGAATTACACTAGAAATGATGCATAACGTACCAGTATAATGCAATACAGAATATTGATTTCTAACCCCTTTAAACAACTCAAGCGCCTAGTTAATCTACGTACAATTTTTAAATATAAAAGATACTGATGTTGTTACTTGTATATCGCTCTTTCAAATGATGCTTCTTTTCAAATATTTTTCTTTCAAATGCTAATTACAAATTAATGAGATCGAAGCATATAGCCAATATCAAGGGGAAACCTTGCCAAATTAATGACATACCTATAACCTATCTGCCTTAAATACCACCAGATGAGAAGCCACATGGGATAGAATCAGATATGCCATGATCCACTAATCAGGCGATTTCTGAGGGCAATGTAAACAATTATATGTTAAACTAATCAAAAAATAAAAAAAAAGAGAACACATCATGCAAGACCAAACATGGCAGTAGAAAAAAACCTAAGCATGAATAACTTTGACGCACTCTACCTGGGATATAGCACACATGGCAGTCCATGGGAGTAGTGATGTAAAACGGCTCCGCAAAGCCGCGAGACGATTGGCTTAGCCGACGGCTCAGCTAACTAACGGATCAGCTAACCAACGGCTCAACTTGTGTCACAAGGGGCCGTTTAGAGCCGTCAGAGCCAATTACTGTAATTAATAAAAATTAATAATATATAATAAACTATAACGATGATGATAATATCGTAGGATTAATAATAAACTATAGGAAACTATAACGATAATCGTAATATCATAATACGTACCCCTCTTTCTTTTTTTTATCTTACTTTTACAATAATCATACTCTTACAATAAGTAGCTGCGCGACGTTGTCACGAAAATCCAGGAACGGAAGGTGAATTTTCAGAGAGTTACAGGTTAAACTAGTTTTGGCATAAGTTTAAATTTGCTTCTATATTTAATTTTATCAATTTTATTAACTTTTACTAGGTTCACTTTCAACTTTAATCTTAGATTAATATACAGCAAGTCGGATACTATTACGTTATCTAGTTAGACTTTATATACAACATAGACAGATTGGTATTAGTAAATTAGTATATGTGGTCTCTTTCTAATAAATTCTTCACTTTTGTTCTTATTTTTTTTTTATTCAAAGTAACAGATGATATAATTAACAGTGTATTTAAAATAAATAGTTCATATCCTATTAATTACTTCATATTTTTTTAATCAGAAAATTGCTTTTTGTTTGATTTTGTGAGTATAATGATCATTTATTTATGGAGGTATTCAAAATAGTATATTCGAGTTGTTAGACGAAATCTCGAGGTTTCGCGCTGGCGAAATGCGAAATCTAGTTTCGTCCTACGTCAATTAAAATCTTAATAAAGAAGAATATACAAATAAATGTTGAAATCATTTAAGATTATGTGTATAAAAAAAATAAAACCAGAAATTTATAAAAATTATAAAAAACTTTATTGTACAATAGGCGCTTGAATTGTTTAAAGGGAGTATTCTATATTATATTATACTAGAACACTACATATCAGTTCTAGTGAGAAATTGCTTGGTGCTTACTTTATGATTTTACAATTTATTTTGTGCCCAGCTTAAAATGATCTGAATATTATTTTTGCTGGCATGCATGTAATTTCGGATACTGATCTCTGAATAAATTATGAATGTTAATTCAATGAATATATATATTTATATATATTTAGCGGGAGCACGGTTTTTTTGTCATAAAAACTGCACCTAGAATCTGGGACAGGTTAGGTTAACTCCAATCTTCGAACTATTCATGTAGAAATTAATAAAATGTTTTTTCTGAAATTTGATTAATTATTATATTTTCAATAAAAATGGATCAACCTGAAGATTTATAGCTTTAGTATGATAACAATATTTTATATAAAATCTGAAACGAAAACAATTTTATAAAAAATGTGATAAAATATCTACTAAAACAACTATATTAGAAAATTTATTTATAATTATAAAAAAGCTCCTTTAGCTACTATATTCATATACAAATATATATTTCTGTATTTTTACAATGTAAAAATCTAGATAGTGTTTTTTGAAACTTTAAATATTTATCATATCAGATAAAGTCAGTATTCTGTATCTGCATATTGATTTGAAATTCAGTGATTTACGTGTTCATTTCATCCATTTCATTAAATACTTTTTTGAACGATTTTAATTGACAAAGCTGTTCCTCTGAATATTTACAATTTAGAGTATTACCAAAAGCGTCAACAAAGTCATAATCATTCCAAAAATAAAGAATCTGAAGAATCTCCTCAGCAGATGGGCGGTTTTCTGGATTAGCATCCATACATCTGTATGCCAATTCTATATAAAAACGTGGAGTATTATTTGAGAATCTAGGTCTTAGCCCTCCACGTATCTTAAATTCAAGATCATCATATGGAACTGTATTAAAAGGTTGTTGTCCTGTTGATACTAGAGACATTAATACGCCAAAACTATAAATATCAGTTGCTTGTGTAGATTGCTGTAATAATTCTGGCGCAATATATGGCAGTGCTCTGTATGAACATTTTAGTGATATTTTGTTAGTTGAAATTGAAGATAATCTGAAATCTGAAATCAATGTGTTCGATGTGCCAGATTGTAGAATATTTCCACTATGCAAATCACAATGAACCATATTATTTTGATGAATTTCCTTTAAACCACGAATAATTCTTATTAAAATTTCAATTTTATCTTTCCACTTCAGGTTTTTAAATTCTTTTGATAAGTAATCATGAAGGGCTCCATCTTCTAAATATTTCATAACAAATATATATTCTCCCGTAATTGGGTTTCGTGCCAGTCCATAAATTTTAATTAGCCAATAACATTGATTTAATTTTATATAGTTTTCAAACTAAAAATAAAGAAATTTAATCCTATACTATGTTATATGTAGTAGTAACATTTATAAAAATTATAATAACTTTTTACCTACCTCATTCAAAAATTCTTTAGATATATTTTTTTGAATTATTTAATTGTTTTAATGCAACAACCACATCTTCAGAACATCTCGATTTATCTTTAATAAATTTATTGCCATTAATCCAAGTAGCTTTGTATATAGTAGCAAATTTACCTTCACCAATCTTTTCAATATTGGTTAAGTTATAATATGGAATCCATTCAATATAAGAAAAATTATTATATTCTTTCGCTTGAAGTTGGCTTTTTTTAATCAAATTGTCTATAATTCTATTTCCACTAGTCCACCCTTGAATTAATTGTTGTGGATCACATGTTTGACACCAAGTAATACTTATATTACTTCCATGACATTTTAAACATTGACCATACGTCATATCTTTACCTGAACTTAAAAATTTTTTTTGCATATAATTTTCTGTAGTGGTTAAAATATGGTTTTCATTATTTTCTCGAGCATATTCCCAAGTCCAATCTCGAGCTGTTTATTGAAAAAGGATTTAAATTGCATTATATTGTTAGATATTCTGCTTTAATTCGATTTTATTATTAACCCTTTCTATAATTTTTATGTAATGAAAAGTTATTGTTTAATACCTATTGCGATTGCTTCTTCTTCATTTTCTATCCAAAGCTTTCCAATATCTTCTTCAATTGGGTCATACGGATTTGGATATGATAATAATGCTTGTATGGAGAGAATTGTTGTACGCAAGCGCAAAGCTGGAGACCAACTAACTTTATTTGATAAAAATAAAATTGATACCATGAATATATATCAAATGCTATTTAATCAGAAACAAAAAATACCATCAAGTATATTCAAACAGATTGTTCCAAATTTATCAATATTTGGATGATAAACTTTAGTTAAAAAACGAATCATAGGCGGAGCCATAGGATATTGTTCAGTAAGCAAAACATCTAATTTGAAAACACCACCTATTTAAGAAACTGTTTTTAGTAATATACATAAAAATATATAATACGAATTTTATCCGGCAAACTCATAAGATCATGAAAATATTTCTTCTTCTTGCTATTTTTTTATTTTCCCATGTATTACGTTGTAATCATGTTCATTCAAAAATTAAACCTCAGTCAATAACTCTATGAAAATTGCCGGATATCACCAATACTGAGCAAATCGTCGAATGCAGTAATACATGCCGCAAAGCTGCACATGCTAATTTGCCAAATTACCGTTATTCACCAATTTTTTGCTCAGTATTGTACACATAAAAGATATTATCGACCTTCATAAGGTGACTGAATTGGACCAGCTATAGTAGCGTTAAGATGATAAATATCTTCTTCGCTTGTTATTATATTTATACCAAGAGGTAGTGGTTCATTTTTTAATCGTTCTATTTCCTAAAATATGGTGAAAATTTATTTATTAATGTAACTACTATATTTTCAAATACAGTATATACGATTTAATATACATTTTGGCACAGGCATTTTAAAAATATAAGTCTATTTTTCAGTTTTCTTGCTGTAAACTCATTTATATGTATATTATATGCATATTGTAAATCACCCGATTTTCCATTTAAATTATTATCTGTTATGCTTTTCAAAATTACGTACGTACGTACATACTATGATCAGCAATTTCATTATCTAAGGAGGATCAAAGTCCGAATATTTTCACAATACTATACCGAATCAATCTGATCTTAGATCAGATTAATAGACCAACTTAACATCCCAATATCCATAATAAATATGAGATCTGTAGGATGATAAATTACGAATCCTGTACTAGGATCCGAGCGACGTTCCCGAACTTATTCAGCAAAACCCTAGTTCCAGAATTAGGTCCTAAATAGCATTTTGGACAAACCCATCCAATAAAATTGTAGCTTTGTTGTTAAAATTACTGTCCAATAAATTTGATACTTTTATAACAAGAACAGAGTGATATGTAATATTTACGATGTATATGGTTACTATGGCATTTTTAATGACGTACGTCCGCAAAATCTTATAACTAATTAGACAATGCATTAGACGCGGTAAAAACATAGACTTCTGCTCTTAAACGTCACGATATGCATCACATAGTGTTACCATCGGTTGGGAGAACAATTAGGATGTTAATCCAATTTAGCTCCGATGGTTAACTTGGTTCGGGATTTATAACACTTATACACGTGATGTGATGCCACGAAACTCTTAAACTGAGTCGGGGTTATCACTTAAACAGATCAAACTTTAATTATCAGGGTAATTTATTATATAAAATAATATAAGAAATGCAAGATAATAATAATAATAAAGAATAATACAATAATAAAAGAATATAGCTAAACTAATAAATTAATACTACACATGTGAGAATCCGATTCTTGTCCCTAAATCATCATTTGAGACAAAGTCCGAAGAAACTTAATTAAGGCAAAAACCCAGGCCTTAAATACCTTTTAATTTACTAAGAGCTACTGCGCTATCTTTTAATCCCAATCTTCTAAGACTCTTTGTACTATCAACAAGACATCGATGTCGCGGGCTGCGAACAATTTCCCACAGCCTTAGACATCAATGCTTTGTTTATGCCAACAACCAGGTGCCAACAATAACGGGTTTAACTCCTATCATACTTATTGTATGTTAAATAAACAAACACTCACCAGAATTAATCTATGTTATTAAGCCTCCATTCGACACCTAGGAGCCTTACAATATTCTTGTGGCTCGGGTCATTCGGGTTTTAGTACTACCAAGTCACATCCAAGTCACGGGTTTAATTCCAAAACCGTGACAATAGCACTATATATTTATATAGTGATAACTTGTATATTTATTGCTTAACAGGTTTTGTCTCTGATTAAAGTGCACTAACCGAATATGGATTTTGTCATATGAAGGGCAAACCTAATAGCCTAAAACCAGTTTCACTAACGCTAATGTCAAATTTTTGATAACTGGATATATGGGCGTTGTTCAATAGAAAAGGGAGAGATCTCCTTTTTAAATCTGGTCAATTTGACCAGAATTAAAAAGGAGA